CTTACAGGGATAGAGGTTTTGGGGTCGCGGTGCGAGCACCGGTATCCCCCTCCTGCTGAGGCCAAAGACTAGAAAAAGAGAAATTCACTTCAAGGCTATTTCCAAGTCTATTTCAAGTTTGCCTAGGGTCCCCTGCCTATGCAATGCAATATTCAATCCTCAATCATTCAATCCAATGCTATTTCCAAGGCTGATTCTCATGGCTGGTCCGACAGTCTCTCATCAACAAGGCCACCCACATGGCCGGTCTGGCGGTCATTCTCTCAATAGCCATTCTCAAGACTAACCCTTCCGCCCACTCAATCCTCAATTTTCTCATTCCTCAACACCCAATCTCTGTGACCGTCCCAACGGTCCCTGCCCTTCTCGGCTTTAAGGTTCCGCCTTCTTTATCCTATCCTTCTCATTCACATCTTTCTTCCGCCCCCTTGGCTGTTTCAGCGGCCGATCCACGGACCCTTTTCATCCCTTCCGTCCATCCCTTTGGCTTATTTCAATGACCGACCCACCGGCCCTTTCCATCTCTTCCTCTCATCCCATTGGCTATTTCAATGACCGAGCCACCGGCCCTTTCCATTTTTCTCATCCCATTGGCTATTTCAATGACCGACCCACCGACCCTTTCCATCTCTTATTGCTCATTCCAGCACGTTCTCAATCAACCTTTCTCAATCAAATATGCAGGGGACCCCAGTGCCTATTTCAAAAGTAATGACACTTGTCAGGGGTCATTCCCGAACAACTTGGTGAGGGTCGTTCTTTTCCATTCTCATGTCGAACAGCCTGGTTAGGGCCAGTCATTTCCATTCTCAAGTCGAACAGCCTGGTTAGGGCCATTCCTTTCCATTCTCAAGTCGGACAGCCTGGTTAGGGTCATTCCTTTCCATTCTCAAGTCGAACAGCATGGTTAGGGTCATTCCTTTCCATTCTCAATGTTAGTGCCCGAGGGGGTGGGCCTCGAGGTTACGGATCTCATTTCTGTCTTGGAGGTTAGAAGGTGGCCATCTCATCTTTTGCGTGTTGTTCTCTTTCTTCCATTTCTCACAGTAATGTACCATCCATTCCATTTCTCACAGTAATGTACCATTCATTCCATTTCTCACAGTAATGTACTATCCATTCCATTTCTTACAGTAATGTATCATCCATGCGTATATCCGACTTAGCGTCGAGCACTCGAGTTGGGGCTTGCGACCCCAAGCAGCACTAACCCACCCGGCCGTCCATCCATAACAAATGACAAAGACGCCCCTTCCATTTTTATTTTTTCTAATCTCTCAAGTTTCGGCTATTCTCAGTCTCATTCATGACTCAGTTGGATTAGGCTCCTAGGGAAGGAGTGTTCTTCACGCCCCTTAACCCATAGGTTCCCTAACCTCTCTTGTACTCGACCAATCATTCAATGCCATGGTTTGCTCGTCAATCCGTACTCAAGGTTTTCCCCTCTCAAAAGCATAATCCTTATTCCATCCAGAATTCACAATACACCCTCTCTCTATTGGTCTCATCCTAAATCTCATGTCTTTGTCTTATGTACCCAAGGTAGCTCATCCAAAAAGTAGCCTAAAAAACTATCTTCTATCTTATCGTGACACAGCCTTAGCTGACCCTCTTTTCACTTCCTCCTTAGCAAGCCTGCCCATATTATACACGTTCTCGTCATTCTCACATGGCGACCCGGTAGGGGCCTTTGAACCTCTTTCCCAACTGTCCCGACCAAGTACTTTCTAGTGCCGAGTTCCTTAGCAATACCATCTCCCCCACCTGAAGTAGCTCCTTTCTGACATTCTTAATCTGGTCCCACCTTGCTTGGTCCCTCATTCTGCTGTCCAGCACCCGGTTGGCGATGTCCTCTATGACCTCCTCATTCTTAAGGATTTGTTGACATCTTGCCTCGATTAACTCTTCAGTGGTCATCTGCGGATCATCATCTAACCTATTCCAGGTAGGTACCAAGGCTTCTACAGGAAAGTCGATCTCTCTTCCGTACCAAAGCTCTGCCGGGATACATCCTGTTGTCCTTTTAGGGGTCATATTCTCTGCAAAGACAGCCTGCTTAAGACACCTAGGCCAGTTCCCCAGATGGTCCGCTGCGAGCTTTGCAATCGTGTTCTTCAATGTTCGGTGCCCCCTTTCCATAGGTGCGTTGGCCTCAGCGTGATATGACTCAATGAGCTTGATTGGTACGCAGAGTCTCTTAAGCATCCCCAATACTTCTTGGTTCACAAACTCCGTCCCATTGTCTGCTATAAACCTCCTGACGAACGGATGCCTCAAGTAGAAGTCTTCTATCCAGTCCACCACACTTCTCCCCATCTTTTTCTTGAGGGCGACTGCCTCCACGAACCCGCTCAGGTTGTCTCGCGCATCCAGGATATACCTGTACAAGTAGAAGTCTTCTATCCAGTCCGCCACACTTCTCCCTGTCTTTTTCTTGAGGACGACTGCCTCCACGAACCCGCTCAGGTTGTCTCGCGCATCCAGGATATACCTGTACCCATCCGTTGATACAGGCATGACTGCAAGGTCGAGGTGGACCAGATGTCCCGGCCCTAGCACCCGCGTTGGTCTAAGCGGCTCGAAGACCCGCACCGAGCTTTGTTCTTGGCAAATAAGGCAAGTCTGACAGTATATAGCGACCATGCCTGCCATGCCTGACCAATAATAGAGCGGTGTTATCTTTGCAAGTGTTCCTTTGGACGACCGATGATCTCCAGCTAACCCGTCGTGCATTGCCTGGATAACGTCTACTTGCCTAGGTCTTCCGCACACAACCCTTCTGGCATAGCACCTTCCTCCCTTCGGAACAAATGCCCCCTCCTTAGGACGTACCTTTCGGCGTCTTCTCTTGCTTTAATACTGACTTTCGTAGGTTGTTTGTTTCCTACCAACAACAACCCGATCTCCCGAAAGAGCCCTTCGTATGATTGGACATAAAAAAACTCCTCCCCTTCCTGGCCCCCATCCTTTCCTTCCTGCATCTGGTTTACCACCCATTGCAACTTTTTCCTTTCCCAAGATTCCACTAAGCTCATCACTGCCTCCCGACCTCCCTCGACCGCCATTGCCATTAGTTCCTCTTTCGGTCCTACTATCGCTCCCCATGAGTCCTTTTCTTCTCTGCGACCCCGAGTGGTAACTGGTCCCTCTCTAAGTTCTGTTACTATGGCAGGTGCTCCCTTCTCCAAAGTCTGGATCAATAGTTCTCCCGATGTTCATCCCTCGCTCATCATTTCGTCATCCACCGCGAGAGTCCCTCCTTCGTATTCGAGGAAGGCGTCTATGGGCTCCGCATCCTCCATCCCTTCGGGAGTGATGCAAACCTGATTCAGCCCATCTGCCTTGTTGCGGATTCCAGCAATCCGTTCGATCTTGTAATCGAACTGCCAGATGAATCCTACCCATCTCCCTACCGTCGGATCTATAGGCCTGTAATTCGTCGGATCGATCCTTAAGATGAGCCGCCTTCCAAATAGGTAGGCCGAGAAGGCCTTAGGGCAATGCAGGATGGCTAAGACTTCCTTCTTGAATTGCGAATACCGCCGTTCCGCGGAGTTCAGGGTTCTACTTTCGAACCTAATTGGCCTCTCCTTTCCCCGCTCATCCTTTTGAATCAACACACCTCCTACGACCAAAGGTCCTCCATCCGTCTCTAGGATGAAGGGTCGTCCCACTTCGTCATTAAAACAAGGCGCGGACAGGGCGACTGTCTCAGATGTCAATATGTCCTTGAGCCTTTGGACAGCTCCTTCTCGCTCCTCCGTCCAATCCATGGTTCCTTCTTCCCTTATTATAGCCCGGATAGGCTTAGCAATCTTGGCAAAGTTCTTAATGAAGATCCTCCAAAAGCTGACTACGCCTAGGAATGCCCTTACCTCCGTCGTCGTGCGTAGTGGTGTCGGCCACTGTGATATCTTGTCGGTCTTTGCCGAATACGGCTTCCTGTCGTAAGCACCGCAACGAAATCCTAGTATAGTTACCTCTGGTACTGCTAGGATACTCTTTGGTCCACTAGCCGTAATGTTGTATACTAGGAACCGGCGGAGTAAGTCCTTGATGTCCTGCAGGTGGTCCCACACAAAACGTCGGATCCCTGGCTGGACTTTTGTCTCGTCCTTTTCCTGCGCGCCTTTGATCGGATTGTCCTCGATGTAAGGTTCACATTTTTCTGGGAACATGTTCCCGGCCACGGCGAGCATCCTGCGTTGCGCTTCGGCCACCGCGTTTGTGAATCCCATATGTGTCACTTGCATCTGTAGCTGGCCTACGGGGGTGTGCATGGCGGTGTATGGCCTGTCCCGAACATCCAATGGAAGCTGGTCGTACCCTGAGTACAGATCTATCAGGGAGTAAATGCTCCGACCGGCGTGCGATTCTGCTAATAAGTCAGCCTGAGGTAGCGAGGCAGCATCCCGGATGGTTACTGCATTTAACTTCTGCAGGTCCTGAATCCACCTTAGTGTCTTGTTAGGCTTCCGAAAGACGAACCACCGATTTGCGTATGGCGATGCCGTAGGCTCCGCAACGAAGGAGTCCATCTTCGCTCGGAGGAGGTCTGTTACTTCTCCTTCTATCCCAAATTCATAGGATGGCCCCTTGTCATTCTAGCACTCATGTTCTACCATGTGGATTCTGACCGGAGGGATCAACTTCGCATCCAGTCGTCCCTTCTGGTGATCACTAAAGACAAATGCAAGGTGAAACTCCTGGCAGGTCCTTTTGATCAGGCGGGTTTCTTCTCCCGTTAAGAACCCGTCTATCCCTATCTTCATTGTGTCCGCTACCTCATCTGGTATCCGATGTCCCTCCGTCGCCCTTCTTTCTCGGATCACTCGAAGGACCTCTTCCTCCTTCTCCATAGCCTCTTCCTTTGATGTCTCTAGCAGGATCGAGACCGGTTTTGCTTTCTTCCCTACAGGCTTGTACTTTCGAACACTTCCTTCCAGGATCTTTCTCCTAAAAAATGAACAGTCGGAATTGCCCCCGTCGCCTCTACGACTCGT